CAAAATCAAGAGTTGGATGTTTAATGGACTGAGCCACTCAGGTGCCTCTAGAGGCAGGACTTTCTTTCTTTCTTTGTTTTTTTAATTTTTAAATTTTTTTTAATGTTTGTTTATTTTTGAGAGACAGAGTGTGGGTGGGGGAGAGGCAGAGAGAGAGGGAGACACAGAATCTGAAGCAGGCTCCAGGCTCTGAGCTGTTATCACAGAGCCCGACACAGGACTTGAACCCACAAACCGTGAGATGCCCTAAGCTGAATTTGGGTGCTCAATTGACTGAGCCACTCAGGCGCCCCTAGAGGCAGAATTTTCTAAGGGCAAGTTTGGCACAATATTGCTGTTGTACCTTTAATCTGATATACAGTGCAGTTATGAATATTGCTTTATCAGTACTTGCTGGTAATTAGCAGGATTGGGCATTTAAGAAATATTCAGATGAGGACTCCATTGATATGCAAAATGGGACCAAATCCTCCCCCTTTCCATTTTGTTGAGGAGAGCTGGTTGTTAGAATTAAGTTAGGTGCTTTTGGGATGAGCACTGGGTGTTGTATGGAAACCAATTTGACAATAAATTTCATATATAAATAAAAAAAAATAAATAAATAAAATAAAATATTGCCAACAAAAAAAAAAAAAAGAATTAAGTTAGGTGCTAAGCATAAAATCAGATTGGCACATAGCAGTCACTTGGTAAGTGACAGTTATTATCACCATCCATACCTTAAATCCTCAGAGGCTTTTTGAATTACTTTTAAGCTTATTGCTTATGTTTATTGGTCCCTTATAGTATTTAGACGCTCCATACACCAAAACAGCTTTCTTCCAAGGGAAGAAAGTAAATGTACCATGTGTCTGTCTTCCTCAAATCTATAAAAATTGTTATTTCCTGTGTTCTTTGTAGAGCTGGTGGAGTTGAGATCTATAATGGAGATCGTAAAATAAAAGTTTCCAATACCCTAGAAAGCCGGCTGGATCTCATAGCCCAGCAGGTGAGTGTGGGAATACTTCTTATTAGTTGGTCTGTTGTTACTTTGAAGTGGTACAGAGAACATATGTCCATTCCCTGGTATTTGGGGTTTGTCACTCTTTCCACATTTTGTGGCATTTTCTTGAATGGGCAGTGGGCACTTAGTGGCATTTACTGAGGTGATACCATTTACGTGAGAGTGGATTTAGGGTTGAATGAAGGTTTATTTAGGATTCTAATGTAAACATTTTACTACATGTAGAGGTGCTGAGCAGAGTCCTTTTCTCCAGTAATAATGGTGGGATCTAAAGTAAATATTGTTTAAAGGAATTCCCATAGGGCTGCTGGCTCTCCAGATGTTTCCAGGTTTGCACAAATGAGCTCTAGGAAACAAGCCAGGGAAATCCAGTTATCTCAAAATGTGGGGCCTCTTTCAGCGGTGGTAGTCTGCTGCTGTGGCTGCTAACTTGTCTTACAGTGAAAGCACTTTGACCTAGAGTATCATCTGCTGGTAACTTACACCGTAAAGCTGTGTTTCCCATTAGAGTAGCCACTACCCACATATGAATAAATTAAAATTAAGTAGAATTAAAAAATGAGTCCCATGGTTGCACTGACCATATTTCAAATGCACAGTAACAACCAAATGTGGCTAGTGGCCTCTGTCGGACAGCATAGCCTTAGAAGTTTGAACTTACATCCTAAGGATTTTTCAGTTGCCGTACGAATGAGTGCCTCATTACAAACTGGCATTATGTGTGTTCTGCTTGGCACATAGTAGGCACTAGTAACTGTTGAAAGAAACATAGCTGATCCAGAGTATTGTTAAGGGATCATCTCTTCTCCCTACATCACAGAGTAACAGAAGCCTTAAGCCATACGGGCATGCGCCTGGCTCAATCGGTAGTGTGGGACTCTTGGTCTCGGGGTTGTGTGTTCGAGCCCCACATTGGATGTAGAGATTACTTTAAAAAAAAAAAAAAAAAAGATGCCTTAAACGATAATGGCTTTAGTTATAGTTTTTTTTCTTCATCCCCTTAAGCAGTCAGTCATAACCACAAATTTGCGATTGGTTAAGTTTCTCGCCAAGGATTCTGTTAATAGTTTTTTGGATAAGTAAGGACAGATTGGTCCTTACACAAAGCACGTAGCTTTGTGATTTCTTTCCCAGCCACGTAAGGGTCAGTGACTCTCCACTTGCAGTTAAGATGTGCAGTTCTTTCCATATTTTCCAGTTGACAACACTTCCCTATTAAAGAACTTATTTCTTCACAGATGATGCCAGAAGTTCGGGGAGCCTTATTTGGTGCAAATGCCAACAGGAAGTTTCTGGACTAAGCCTTTGGGAGAGGTGGAGTTGATTCACTGCTCTCTGGCTGTGATGTGGAAGTTTCTAATATTTGAAGAAACAAGATATCTGTGTGGCTTCCTTTTCCCTGTTCTAATATTCTGTATTTATCAGTGGATACTCTTCTGTAGCTAATGCCTATGGCCTAATTGTTAACAATGAGAGCAAGTTCCACTTAATGTAATCAGGAAACCTCCTTCTAGCTACTCTAAAAGTAGCACAGCTTTCATTTGCTTCTGTAGCATGAAGGTGAGGGTATCAGATGGTGGTTATGGGAGCTTCACCAAGTCTTTGCTCTTCCTCTGATTTCAGTTCTCCAGTCTAGAGGGTGACGTGTATAGTGTTCTCTGATATTAAATCTCTGCTTTTAGGCTTAAAATGCATGGTGGGGGGTGGGGGCACGCATTCCTTCCAGCAGTAGTAGCTTCACTGTTAACCTGTTTGGGCCTAGAAGTGTTCCTCATCTGTAAATGTGATTTAAAATCTAAGCCATGAATATGTTTTATTTATTAAAACAAAAGGTTTACATGGATTTCACTGTGTTTTATTATGCAGGGTTCTACAAGTTTGTCGTTTGAGAGGGTCCAGTTCTTCCTGAGGTATCTAGATAAGCAGCATTTTCCTAATCCCCATAGCATTTGCTGGTCAACAGCTGTCACTACTTGAAACCATTAACCCTCTGTGTCCTCTGGCACTTCCTGCTCACTTTTACCAGGCCCTTATCCAGAGGTGTTCCTTGTAGCCCCTTAGGATCTTTCACACACACCACACGCACAGGTGTTCAATATTACCTGTCCTCCAGAGGGTTTGACAGCTTTATTGAGGAAATAGTTTTATTAGCTTTGGCAGAGTCAGAAAAGAAAAGCATCTAGGGGCTTATTGGAGGAGAAGGGTTACTGTGTGTTAGGCCTAAACCCTTTCACAAAGGGCCTTTTCTTCCTCTCCTTGTTCTTTATTTTTTTCTCAGATGACGACTAATAACTGCCCAAGATCTTACCGGTAGGCAGAGTTGCAATCTAACTCGGGTCTGTCTCTGCAGCCAGACTCCAATGTGGGCTTCTCTAGAGAGAATGAGGCTACTGAGGCTGGCCGTTTTTTCATTAACATAAGTGAGATTAGATGGGGACTAATGTAAATACCAATTCTCGGAACAGGCATTTTTTACCTAAGACTTGAGCCTGCATGCTGATAGCATTTCTCTGTGGCAGCCCTCTGGCGAAGGCACTGGTGCATGGGAACTGTCACAGTGGATCCCATTCCTCAAGGTGATGCAGTTAGGAAATGATGGGGTCAAGACTTCAAACCCAGTGTAACTGAAAGATAAAGTATCCCCATGGCTGTCCTCTGACCTCATGAGTGGTGATTTGAAGGGTATGTGCTAAAGACCTGCCTCAGAGCTCATTTTCATGCATTTTGGTTCTGGGATGGATGGGGAAAGGTGGAGGGAAAACAATCCATTGCAGCGGGTCTACTGCTCCCACTAATTACAAGACGAGAGTTTAATCAGTTTTATTTAAAACCATGTTCCATGGACATTGTTCTGTGAGAGTCTGTGTGGTGCAGGACAGCCGCCCTGACAGCCCAGGCCGCTCATCGGCCTAATCTCTCAGCTGCTTGGTTTTGAACAAGGTGCTGACTTTGAGGGCTTTCATGGTCCCCTTGAACTTCTGATCCTCCTTTTCCCCCAAATCAGTGCTAGAACTAACCATAAGTTATTTAACTCAGAAATAACACTGAATCTTCAAACTGACTCAAGTGTATGGAGTTTGAGTGTGAACTAGAAACGTAAAATGGAGAAACAACCCCTCTGTCTTACTATGTGTTAGGGTCCCGCAGTTAATACACCCCAAGCACATACTATGTTTGCTGTTGAAAAGTAGGTGCTTAAGGGCTTCTGAAGCTCCCTGGTAGCTATAACCCCGCCAAAAAACAGATGTGGATATCACGAAGGGAGAATGGGACCATACCCAGCTTGCTTATTGGGATAAGAGTGTGTCTTCTGAGAGTGAGGTAGCACTACAGGTTAGAGGACAGAGTATGACATGGGGGGCGTCTCGCTCATCCCTCTCTAAGTAGAATATGCTAGAGAGCTGGCAGCAAGTAAAGGGACTTGAGCTCCAGCTCTCTACTCGAAACACTTTAAGATCCGCTCTCCAATACCAATGAAGTAGACCCCTTGGGCAATCCCAAAGAGAGGGGCTATGACCAGGGCCCGGCAGCCTGCTCCCTTCATGAGGGCGGATGGTCCCTCCTGAATCCAGATTTTCCTGCAGAGAGAGAAGAGCCCTGTGAGCTGATTGACAGGAGTGCACTGCAGACGGTGTGAAGTATCCGCTCTCCTCCAACATGTGCACATCTCTCCACGGAAGGTAGATGTCATTTTTCACAGCAATAGCACCTCCCGGGCCTGTGGGAGCCTTGCCCCACCCATCATGTGTGTGCAGTCTGGTTACTAAGCAGCCGGGCTGAGCCCTGGGAAAATGGTTCAACCTGTCTTTCTGGGAGAAAGATGCTGCAGGGATGCAAGGAGAAAAAAGCTCCCTCTACATCCTGTTTCTGTTGAGAGGTGAGGGGAAGGAGCAGATCTCAAAGAAATCCAGAGCTCAGCGTAGTGCGGTGATAAACTGTTGCCCTAGGTGGGGTGTAGGTAGACATGGACGCAGCCTGTGAGGGCCTGTGAGGGGCGACAGGGCTCTCACCTGGCGCAGTCGGTGATCCCACTGTAGCTGTCCTCACCCAGGCCTTTTTTGAGGGTTTGGATTCGAGTTTTCAAAACTAAATCAAGCAAAAGTTAAAATAAGTAATGAACGTCTTGCTTTTGGCATCCTATCCTCCACACGAAGTGGTTTCCTAGCAGAGCCAGTGTAGAGAAAACGGAATCCTGAGGCCAGCTCTGCCATTGTGTGATCTGGAATAGAAGATCTTCCTGGAGGAATTAGAAATGACATAGTTTCTGTAGGAAAAGTGTGAGGGTCCACCTGCCTGTTGGAGCAGCCGAGTATAGCCCTGAGGATAGGAGAAGCCTGTTCTTCCCATACTGCTTAACTCCTGCCTTTAGCCTTTTAGATTTTAACTGCCCCCACCTCGAGGAACAAAAAACTAATGAAATCAGCACCTAGGAGGTGAAGGGATTTGTCGGTGATAAGAAATAGAGCAATGGTCTCACTGTTGCCACTTTATCTGGAAAGACTCTTGGTGAGTTTCTGCCAGTGACCACAGGTTGTGACCCAAGAGGGGTTTCAGGTTGGAACTGTTTCATTTCTGTCCTGAAAGTGGAAGATTCCTATTTATCCTATAGACAACTATACAGCTATCTAATTTGTAAAGCAACCCTTGAAGACCCTCATCTCTGATGCACTTACCGTCCAGAGGTGTTACTGTGACAGCAGCTATGGAACCCGCAACACAGCCTGACATAAAGGAATGAGCAAAGGAGGCCTTCCCGGTACGCTCGTTGAACCCAAGGTTGTTAAGGTTGGCAAACAGTGGGAAGTAGATGATGGAGAAGGGAATGTCTCTGCAGGAGAGCAAGAGAAAACACTGAGCTACCTGCTGCTTCCGGGGCTCCCACCCAAGGTCATGCGGTACGCCTTTCCAAGAGCTGTAGAGCCCAGCAGATGGTCAAAGACAAGCCCACAGTTACCTGTTCCCTCTCTGGCACTCTGTGATAATGCAGGGTGTAAGGGAGACGATGGAAGAGAGACGATGGGTTTGTCTCCCCACCCGCAGCCATTCTGTGAGGAGCCAGCAGCGGGTGCAGAGACTGGCAGTGCGTTCAGTGAGAAAGGGTGACAGGCTATGTTAGAGTTAATGAGTTGAGCAAGTGTCTGGTGAAGGGCTATCCAAGCTAAGTGTTGAGGGGATGGGGTAGGCAGGAGGGTGAAGTTCATTTATCTATTAGGTAATAGATCTCCTAATGAGATCTGATGCAAGGAAACTATCCCCTGGCCTGGGACACTTCAGACCAACTTTAAGGATTTTGGCCAAGTAGCAAAGTAAAATGAGGGATCTGTGCACTCATTTGCTTATAAATGACCCAAAGTCCTTTGTACACAGGGCATTCTTAGGTGCCTTTGGACCACAGAACACCCAATACTCATGTGGGCCTGGTTACTGGAGCAGGGGCCTCAAACTAGTCTTCCAGGTTATACCCATCCTCTGCAATTCTGCCCAATTCTGGACAAAATAGGAAGCATCAAGATAGTTTGCTTTCTGGGGCTTAAATGTTCTAGGAAGAATGCAGACAGATTGGAGCAGCAGTGCCTCTGGCCCTCTGGCCCCTCTTCCTGTTCACTGGGACCCTTCTGTGTTCCAAGCTCAGGAAGAAAGTCTCACCTGAGGAGAGTGGCGCCCAGACCCTTATAGAGACCAGACAGGCCCCGGGTGCGAAGTAGTTCCCAGGCAATAAGGGTGGCAGACGGGCGCTTGTGGGTGGGAGCCGAGCGGGTAGTGTAGGACCTGGAGGAGGAAGGCGCTGAGGCCGAGCCCTGACGATGAACTGCTGAAAGGGAGAGGACAGACACTGTCACAAGCCAGGCCCCAGCAGGTATTGCAAAACACTCACAGGAGTGTACCCCCCACTTCCTACCCCTGGGACACCTTGGGGGCAAGGCTGACATCCTGATAGAATTCTGAGGCTTGTCCTAATTTTTATTTAAGTTTTGTTTTTTAATTTGAAAGAGAGTGAAAAGGGCAGAGACAAAGAATCTCAAGCAGGCTCCACACTCAGTGTGGAGTCCGATGCAGGGCTCGATTGCACCACCCTGGGATGATGGCCTGAACTGAAATCAAGAGTCTGCCACAAAACTGCCTGAGCCACCCAGGCACCCCAAAGATTTTTATTTTTAAGTATTTCTATACCTAACGTGGGGCTTGAAATCACAACCCCGAGATCAAGAGTTACACACTCCACCGACTTTGCCAGCCAGGAGCCCTGGATTGTCCTAATTTAAAAAAAAACAAATGTTTATTTATTTTGAGAGAGAGAGAGCATGCGAGCGGGGAAGGGCAGAGGGAAAGAGAGAGGAAGAGTGAATCTCAAGCAGGCTCCACACTGTCAGTACAGAACCTGATGTGGGGCTCCATCCCCCAAACCTCGAGATCATGACCTGAGTTGACACCAAGAGTCCAATGCTCAACCAATTGAGCCACCCAGGCGCCCCTGTCCTAATTTTAGAACATTAGTTTTTGGCTCCAAGGAAATCTTCCTAAGATGGTTATTATCTAATTTGTTGTCCCTACTGTACAAGGTGCTTGGTAAGAACACAGCCACAGCCTGCCCAGCTCCCTTCATAGGAAGCTATAGCAGCACCTGCCCCTACCTGCCAGGTCCTTATCCTCCTGTTAAAACTTGCTTTTGGTCTGGCTGCCATTTCTAAACCATCTCTGAGCTATTTACAGAGATCCTATTGGTACTTTGGGACATTGGAGTCCCATATGCCTTCTACCTAATGTGTAAAGCAGCAAATTCTTTTTGTCCAAACGCTTTCTCCTTCAGACTTCCAGAGGTGCCTCCTTGATCCAGTATTCCAAAATTAAGTGAACGTGGTCTTTATACCCTTTACCATTTGATAGAATTTGATTCTTCATTTTAGTTGAATAATTCGGAGCCTGCAATTTGATGAGTTAAACATCTAATAAATAGAATGGAATTTTTTTCTCCTGAGCATTTCAAGTACAAGCATTTCATATGTGGGTGAGTCTCCTTAATGACCACAGGGTTCAACACACTGAAATTGTGTATTTGTTTTCTTCTCCCTGAGAAGCTTTGTCTAGATTTTAGGTCCTTGCTAAAAAGAAGTTATTTCATATCCCAATTTCGTTTGATACCTAGCAGGGCAACATTTCATATTAAGAAAGCTAGTTGCCACACATTTTCTTGTGGTAGCAATCTAGGTGCAGGCCTCAAACAATTAGCTTTAAGAAGGTAGTTAATCAGAGGCACCTGGGTGGCTCCATCAGTTAGGCATCTGATTCTTGGTTTCCACCCAGGTCATGATCTCACAGTTTGTAGGTTCAGGCCCCACCTTGGGCTCCATGCTGACAGTATGGAGCCTGCTTGGGATTCTCTCTCTGCTGCTTCCTTTCTCTCTCTCTCTCTCTCTCTCTCTCAAAAATAAATTTATTAAAAGAAAAGGTAATTTATCAATGGACATTATTTTCCCCACTGTCTGCTTTAGATAGGTACATAATTCATCCATTCATTCATAGCCTTTCACTTTTTATGTGTTTTAGGAATACTGAAAACTCTCATCTGAGTTAAAAAAAAGAAATCTTCCAGAGCTTTTACTCTTTGTAGATCAAAACACTCTTTCCAGTGCCCAAACTTTATTTTTGCTGCAGTGTTATGTGCTTCAGGCTAGTCTGATCCAACCCAGAAAGCCAGTTGATTCTAGCACACACGTGCATACTTGGTTTGAGGAGGGGAAGGACACCCACATTCATTGACGACCTTCCCAGGTGCCATGTTAGGCACGTCACACATTGACTCATTTAATTCAGGCATTGTGGTTTCCCTCTGAGGAGAAGCCCTCTGCTCCACCCCTGGGGCTGGCCTCCCTTCTACCAGATAGCTAATGCTTGTTCTTAATGTATGCCTTGGTACCTACACCACTCTATATTTTTGAAAGGATCAGGATTTAGGAAAATTCTCTTCCAGAGAAAACAAAAATAATAGAAATGGTTCTCTTGTCCCTTGTTATGCCTTCCCACTAACAGCCAGCTTCTGTAGCATAATAGAATGTCTATTGAGAGAAATACTTGTGATCAGGATGTTGACACTTCTTAAAATCTTTAGAAAATCAAGCCTAAATGTCATGGTGATATGATAGAGGTATGAGGGAATTTTCTGTCCCTCTGAGTCAAGTTTCTCATTTCTGCTATTTTTTCTGAACTGGAAGTGTTGAAATCTAGAATAGATGGTTACTATTAAGACCATCTGACCGGCACATGAAAAGATGTTCAGCGTCACTCCTTATCAGGGAAATACAAATCAAAACCACACTCAGGTATCACCTCACACCAGTCTGAGTGGCCAAAATGAACAAATCAGGAGACTATAGATGCTGGAGAGGATGTGGAGAAACGGGAACCCTCTTGCACTGTTGGTGGGAATGCAAATTGGTGCAGCCGCTCTGGAAAGCAGTGTGGAGGTTCCTCAGAAAATTAAAAATAGACCTACCCTATGACCCAGCAATAGCA